CTATCAGTGTCCTGTTCAGAAGGTCTCTTCTATCAGATTCAGGGTATCTGGTTTCCTGTTGAGGTCATTGATTAGGTTGAAATTGAGTTTTGTGCAGGGTATTAAATATGGATCTATTTACATTCCTTTACATGATGAAATGCTAGCCATTTGTTGAAGAGGCTCTCTTTCTCCCCCAGTGTGTATTTTTGGCTTATTTGTCACAGATGAGGTGTCTGGAGATCTGTGAACTTATTTCTGGGTCTTCAGTTCAATCCAGTAGATCAACATGTGCATTTTTATGCCAAGACCATGCTGATTTATTACTATAGCTCTGTAGTAGAAGATGGGATGAAGGATGGCGATACCTCAAGAAGTTCTTTTATTATTTAGGATTATTTTAGCTATCTTGGGATTTTGTGTTTCCATAAGAAACTGAATTTTTTCCTTTCAATTTCTGTGAAGAATTGTGTTGGAATATTGATGGGGATTGTGTTGAATCTGTATATTGCTTTTGATAGGATGACCACTTTCACTATATAAAACTTAACGACATATGAACATGGGAGATCTTTCAATCTTCTGATATCTTCTTCAGTGTCTTAAAGTTTTTTTTAAAAAATCATATAAGTCTTTTAGTTGCTTGGTTAGAGTTACCCCAAAATACTGTTTTTTGAGGCTAATGGAAAAAGTAATGCTTCCCTGATTTCTTTCTCAGTTCATTTGCCATTTGTACATAGGAAGGCTACTTATTTTTGTTTGTTAATTTTGCATTCTGCTACTTTGTTCTGTTCTAGAGCTTTCTGGTGTTCTAGTAAGTTGTTAATACAAGATATCTCCATTTTTTTTTAACATAGACACTTATTGCTGTAAACTTACCTCTTAGCTCTCATTGTGTTGAAGAAGTTTGGGTATATTGTGTCTTTATTTTCACATTTCTGTCTCACCCCACTTTTCATTCAGTAGTGAGTTGTTCAGTTTCCATGAGTTTGTATACTGTCTGTCATTTCTGTTGTTAATATTTAGCTTTAATCCATGGTGGTCTGATAGGACTCAGGAGTTATTTCAATTTTCTTGTATCTATTGAGACTTGCTTTGTGTCCAAGTATGTGGTCACTTTTGGATAAAGTTCCATGAGCTGCTGAGAAAAAGGCATATTTTTTTTGTGTTTGGGTGAAATGTTCTATAGATATCTGCTAGGTCCATTTGATTTATGACATTATTTAACTCTGGAATTTCTTCTCTGTTTAGTTTATATCTGGATGACCTGTATATGGGCAGAAATAGGGTATTAATAGTATCACTGTGTGAGGATCATTATGTGATTTTTAGATTTAGTACAGTTTCTTTTATGAACTTGAGTGCCCTTGTGTTTGGTGCATAAATGTTTAAAATTGCAATATCCTCTGAGTGGATTTTTCTTTTTATGAGTGTATAGTATCTTTCCCTATCTGTCATAATTAGTTTTGGCTTGAAGTCTATTTGAGTCATATATTAAAATGGCCACACTAGCTTTCTTTTTAGCCTTATTTGCTTGGGATATCTTTTTCTATCCTTTTACCCTGATGTGATGTCTATCCTTGATGGTAAGGTATGTTTCTTGGATGTAGCAGGAAGACTGATCCCTTTTCTAATCAAATCTGCTAGTCTGTGTCTTTTTACTGGGGAACTGAGACCATTGATATTGAAGATTATCAATGAGCAGTGTTTATTGATTCCTGTTATTTTGTTGTTATGCTATGGTTCTTCCCATTTTGATTTACTGGTCTGCAATTATTTATTCTTTGTTTTCTTGGGTGTGGTTAACCTCTTCAGATTAAATTCTTTTCTATTGCTTTCTGTAGAGCTGGATTTGTAGATTGCTTAAATTTATTTTATCATGGAGTACTTTTCTTCCTCTACTGATTGTGATTGACACTTTTACTAGGGTCTCTTAGAATTTCTAGGATATCTGTCCAGGCCCTTTTGGCTTTTATAGTTTACATTGATTAGTTAAGTGTTATTTTAATGGGACTGCCTTTATATGTTACTTGGTCTTTTTCCCTTGCAACTTTTAATATTCTTTCTTTCTTTTGCTTGTTTAGTGTTTTATAATTTTGTGTTGTGGGGACTTTCTTTTCTTGTCCTGTCTATTTATTGTTCTGAATTCTTTTTTGTACTGTAATAGGCATCTCCTTCTTTAGATTAGAAAAAAAATTGTTTTGTTTCTTTGTTTTCTGCTTCCTTTCTTGTCTTCTGACTTAAGTGGCCAAGGGTTCTGGTGATTGGCAAACCTTCAGGTTCAGTAGGGTGTCTCTGCTGTTTGTTGGGCCTTGGGTGCCTAGAACCAGCCTGGCCTCCTGTAAAGCTGACGTCTGGGCCTATGGAGTCTGTTCATCTTCTAATTGATGTGGGTTGTACCTGTGCCTATGGCAGTCTTTATTGCAGCATTTATTCATGTACTCTCTGAGTGTCTTGATCATGTTTATTAATGCTATTTTGAATTCATTGTCTTGTATGTCATATAAGTCATTATTGTGTGTGTGGGGACATTACTATAGGAGTACTCATTTTTTGGTAAAGACATTATTTGGTCATTCATATTTGTGTATTAGTTATGGGACCTAGGCATTTGGAGGTAGGTTGTTGAGCAGGTATTTGAGTCTCTGTTTCCAACTTTTAAGGTGGGTGACCAACTGCATGGGTCTTAGGATTCAGTCTTTCATCAATTCAGTGTTGATGTATGAATGGATTATCAGAAGTATTCTCTGCTCATCTTGAACCAAGTAAGGTTTCTAAGCTCAAGAGCATTCCTTCTATAAAGTTAGATGATTTTCATAGCCAGTCTTATGGAATTTGGAAGGAGGTGGTCAGGTCAACTGGTGCTTGTGGAGTTGATGTGAGCCTAGGATTCCACCAGAAAAGGAGTCATAGGATGGAGCCATAAGGCAGACAGGGGATAGTGGTCCGCAGATAGACTGTAGGAATGGGGAAATGGTTGGAGGTATTAGTGTGGATTTAGTGTCCCTTCCTGCAGAGGTCCTTGAAAAGCATGGGTATTGGAGAGGTTGATGATAGGAGTCTAGGCTTTCTGCCCATAGATGGGAGGGTACTGGAGCTCAGCTGGGGTGGAAGGGTTTAGTAGAGTGATTCTAGGGACCCTCTTGAAGCAGAGGAATATGGAAGGGGTGCAGGAAGTCAGGTGTGGGACACATGGTCCTCAGGCAGCGGTGCAGTGGTTGGAGTAGCCTGGGTTGTTTGGTGCCCCTTGCTTCAGAGGGGTCGTCTTTTAGACAAAGGAATGAGTGAGGTTTGTGGAGCAAGTCTACTGTTTCTATGTGGAGAAGAAGTCAGGTGTGCACAGCAGGAATGAGTGTGTTAGAAGGAATGGGCAGAGTTGGTGACGGGAACCTCGGCTTCCTGCCTATTGATGAGGAAAAGGGCACTTGGCAGAGATAGATGGGGTTAGTGGCATGAAGCCAGGGGTCCTATCTGTAGGAGTTCTGGAAGGAGTGCCGGAAGGCAAGAGTCAGTCATCCAGTTATGGTGGCTGTATTAATTTTCTATTGCTGTAATAAAACACCATAAATCAACTTACAGGAGAAAGAATTTCTTTGGATTTGTGGTTCCAGAGGAATAAGAGTCTATCATGATGTGAGGTAGGACTGGAAACTGCAGGCATGATGACTGTAACTGCAGTTCCCATCTTGAACTACAAGCAAGAAGCAAAGAGAGTCAACTGGAAGTGGTGAAGAGTTATTTTTTTACTCTCAAAACCTGTCTCCAGTGATATGTTTCCTCCACAAGGCCACACCTCCTAACCCACTTCAAACAGAGCCATCAACTAGGAACTACGTGTGCAAGGACAGGAGCCTCTGGGGACATTCTCATGCAAACTCCCACTGTGGTACATGATAGTAGGAGATGCTGAAGATGTGCTGGCAGGAGGATCAGGAGTTCATTAATATATTTTTAAAGAATTTGCATGATTTGTTTCTTGTCCAATTTGGTATGTTACATATCTATATATTTTTAGGGTTTCCCTTTGCAAACTAGGCTAGCTTTGAACTTGTGATTACTCTGCAGCAGCCTCCCAAATGCTGAGATTACAGGCATGCACTATGATGACTGGCTTTTAATTGTTTTTGCTGAATTTATTACTCTTATTTTGTGTGTGTATATGCTAAATCACATGTTTTAAAATGTTTTATTTTATGTATGTAAGTGTTTTGCCTGCAGGTATGTATGTATATCATGTGTATGCCTAGTTTCTGAGGAGGCCAGAAGATGATGTCAGATCCCAGGGAACTGAAGTTACAGAGAGTTGTAAGCTGCCGTGTGGTTACTGGGAACTGAATGCAGGTCAGCTGCAAGAGCAGCAGGTGGAAGCAGATGCAGAAATCCACGGCCAGACCCCAGGTGGAGCTCCAGGAGTCCAACAGGCGAGAGAGAGGAGGGATTATATGAGCAAGAGATATCGAGACCATGATTGGAAAAAGCACAGGGACAAATAGCCAAACTAGCGGAAACACATGACCTGTGAACCAATAGCTGAGGAGCCCCCATGATACTGGACTAGGACCCCTGGATAAGTGAGACAGTTGATTAGCTTGAACTGTTTAGGAGGCCCCCAGGCAGTGGGACCAGGACCTCTCCTTGATGCATGAGCTGGCTGTTTGGAACCTAGGGCCTATGCTGGGACACTTTGCTCAGCCTTGGTGCAGGGAGTAGGGGACTGGACCTGCCTCAACTGAATCTACCAGGCTGTGCTGATTCCCCAGGGAAGAACTTGCCTTGGAGGAGGTGGCAATGGGGGGTGGGTTGGCGGGGGGCGGGGGGGGAAGGCTGAGGGGTAGGAGGAGGGAGGACAGGGGATTCTGTGGCTGATATGTAAAATTAAATTAATTATAAAATAAATAAATAAAAAAATTATATAAAAAAAGAGCAGCAAGTGCTCTTAGCATTAAGCTACCTCTCCAGCGCCCATGTTTTGCTTTCTAATACCAATTTTGCTGATTTCTGCTTTTCCTAATTTAACTCAGGTGTAATGTCTTTGCTGAGGCCTCTTCTTCTGGATGTGGTCCCAACAATTCAACAGACTGCTGCCTTGGCCCTGGGGAGGCTGGCCAATTATAACGATGACTTAGCGGAAGCAGTTGTGAAGGGCGACATTCTCCCGCAGCTTGTCTACTCGTTGGCGGAGCAGAATGTAAGGATGTTTCAAAAGAATTCATGTAGTTTTGGTTTTAGATAAAAATCTGTCAGTTTGGGCACTATTGTGGGTTTGAAGGCATTGGAATGATTATATTATTTTGATTTGGGTGTGGTGGGCAGCTTCTTTCCATATTGTTAGTTTATGGGGACTATGTAAAGGATTTTCGAAAGCATGCATTAGTAGTTTGTGTGCATGTGGGAGCTTTGCACAGAGCTATAGGAGCTGTCTGAGGGGAGAGTGTAAAGTCCCTGGGCAAATAAGCTTTCTGCCATCCTTATATGTAGGTGGTTAGTGGTGAGAGTGAGTCCTGAGGGAGAAAACACCTTTAATGAAAGGTTTGATAAGCATTTTTTACTAGGTAGACAAACATTTCGAGCCATTAAATGTACCCTCTGAAAGTGTTCCACCCCCACCCCATATGATGCAGCATTTTTTCTCTACAGTGTCACCAATTTAGTTTATACAATAGTTAAGAATTTAAGCATTTTTAGACTAGACATTATACTCTGTTAGTTTATCATAACCTAAGCATGACATCATCTTTTCTTGACATCTCTAAGACTATATTTCTACTTGCATAATGAAACATAGCTCAACTGAAAATTGGGCAAAGGACTTGAATATTTTCTTAAAGAAAATCTTTAAGTAGTCAGTAAGCATGTGAAAAGGAGCTCAACGGTACTAGTAATTAAAAGCTATAAATCAAAAACCACAATGAGATGACACCCCATATCTACTAAGATGAACATAACAAAAATAATTAAAAAAAGTAGTGAGTTCGAGGCCAGCCTGGGCTACCAAGTGAGTTCCAGGAAAGGCACAAAGCTACACAGAGAAACCCTGTCTCGAAAAACCAAAAAAAAAAAGAAA